AACACGTGGATTTAAACGGAAAAGAAAATAATTCAGGTTACAAAAATTGGTCCCAACTTTTCAAAAATCGACAAATCGACTTCGACCTTACAGAACCCTAGCTTCTCAAACTAAGAACCCTAATCCCCAATTTTCCCAATATTCGAATTCCTCACAAAAATGTTGAAAAACTCATATGTCGCCGATCATAGGTTCTGCTATTGCGGTCAAAGAGCGGTTATTCGAACCTCTTGGACGACTGAAAATCTCGGATGTCGATTTCGTTCGTGCATTGGGTATGAGGTAAGTGATTACTCATTTCCATTCCTATTTGGTTCTGCTCTTCCTGTTTTTTTTTTTTTTTAAAATGATAACAAAAACATGATCACTCATTTAGGGATGGCAAAACGACCTGGACCCGGCGTGACCCAGAGCGTTTAGGGCAGGCTTGACCTGCCCCGTTTGTAGAACGGGCCGGGGCGGGTCCGGCCCGTTAGAAAAACGGGCCAAGTCCGAGTCCTATCTACTGCCCTGGCCCGACCCGCCCCGCCCTGCCCCGACTTGGCCCAGATACTTTGTATAAATAATATTTATATATATATATATATATAATAAATAAAGTAATTAGGGTTTTAGTTTCATACATTACGGTCCTTACTCTTAGCACTCCTCTTCTGCAGACTGCGAGGGATTAGAGGGAGGTTTATTTATTTATTTATTTTTTAAATAAACACAATCTGAAGCTTCAGTATCTAAATTCAACAAAAAATTTTTTGACATTCGAGTACCAAAATCAAAGTTTTCTGGTTCAAATCCACTGGAAAGGAAAAAAACATAAAACACAAAACTTAGGGCTCCAATCACTGCGTAAGGAACTGGTCGGGGCAGCTCGTGGCTTGTCGGATCTTGACCGAGAGAGCTCGAGTGCACAGCAGCGAACGGACTGCTCACGGGCGTGAACACAGGCTTCGTTGGACGGCCGGGAAAGAGCTGTGGACGGCCGGCAGACAGGGCCGTTGCAAGGACGACGACGGGAAGGAGAGGTTCACCGGAAAAATGAAGCTGACCGACCTGGACTGAGCTGAACGCGGCGGACTCGGGCCGGACGGGATGGACGGCGCTGGAACTGAAACCTGCCGGCGACGAGAAGGTGCAAGAACGGCTCGACAGCGGCGGACTGAGGCTGGTTTGGATTTGCCGGCGTGGACGGGCTGACGACGAGCAGGCGGCGACGGGGAGGTGCTGCCGACGGTGGGAAGGTGTTGTGTGAGGCTCGAGCTCGCCAAAAGCTGGCCTGGCTCGCCGTGGGTGAGGGCTCAACCTGGTGGAGTGGCTAGAACCGGCGGGCGGGATGGCGCGCGAGCTGTTGGTGCTCGCCGGCGGTTAGGATTCGCCGGAAAACGGCGACCTCGCCGGAAAAAAGGCCAGACTTGAAGATGGTGATGAATGGGTGAAGATGATGTATTTATAGTGGGGTTGGAGAATTAGGGTTTGGTTGGTATTTTGGGCCTTAAATAATTGGGCTTGTATAATTGTTGGGCCTGTATAATTTTTTCTTGGGCAACTACTAAAATTCTTTCTTTCAAAATTCGCATAAAAACTTGACTTTCTTTCCTTCTGGCTAAAACTTTTTTTTTTCTATCTTTCTCTTTCTCTTCTTTAACTATACTCAAGCCTCACACTTGGGTCCTTAGGGAACTAACTCCCAAAATCTCACTTTATTTCTCAATCAATTTAAGACGATAAGCAGAACGCTAAAAAATATTATACTTAGTCTTAAATTGAAAACATTGTTTCAAACATAAACTCAACACAAACTCAGTCTCAAACAATCAAGTTTACGAAACATTGTTTCAGTGCCCATGCAGAACTGCTCAACTTGAAAATGGTAAATTGTGGGAGCGAGCAAAACAACTAGCCCACCATTATCCTATACAATGCAGATATTCGATATAATTAACGGATTACCTTGATCGCAACATGCATCACAAATAACAGTTCATCGTCGTCTCATAGGCGGAAACATGATAATATACATCGCCGTCTCGTAAGCGGAAACACATAGTATTCATCTTCTTCTCATAGGCGGAACATACAATTCATCGTCGTCTCATAGGCGACAACATTTATGAAACCCAAATTTTAATCAATAATAACCACATAAATTATAAGAAACACTACAAGGGATAAACTTCCCACTTGATACTTGAAATATGAAGCACGTTGATGCGTCTGTGGAAACTCGAGGGCTTGACTCCTTGAATCTACATTAATGAAGGGCAACTCGATAAATATTAACTCCTAACTTGGTAAACTAATTTACCAATTTGAAAATTTTTTTAACTTAAGGTTCACGACTTGGAAATTTTTTCTTAGATAATGCAATTCTTGACTAGGACATTTTAAAAATCTAAGAAAAAGATTTTTGTTTTTTGAAGCTAAAAATTTGAGGCTTAGGTTTACTTTAAACAATTCTAAATATTAGCTCGGGACATTTTAAATACATGGTTCGGGTACTTTTAAAATAGTTCGGGGGGCTCGGTCCGGGTGCGGCTGGCTGCTAGCACGAGATCTAGTCGCAGCTGGCACCAGTCGCGCTGGCACTGACGCTGTTGGTTGCCCACAGACGCTCCCCTGCTCGTGGGTCCCAGTGCTGCCCTGGTGTTGCGGTACAGTGATGAAAATGTGGCTAGGAGACTGGAGAACACGTCGAGCTGGCTTATCATGTGCGCAAAAGATTGGCCCGACGAGTCGCCGAGGCTAGATCGATGGATGTATGCAGAGGCGTGAGAGACGATGCGCGTGGCAATGACGCACATAGGCATACCGCGAGTGAGGCGGGGGCGTGCGGGCACGCGAGCACGTATGGACACGCGCGCAAAGATGTGTACCTATTGGAGCAGCGCGACAAGGTCGGGCATGCAGAAGAAGTGTTTGCAGACTCGGCAAGGTGACTATGGTTACTTGAAGACCAAGTTGTGGATTTTTTCTAGAAGTTCCAAGGCTTAGTTTCCCACATGCTTTATTATTATTCCTAGATTGTTTAGGAGTACATTAGTTTGGATATTTTTAGAATTCTAATTATCTATTTTCCTTAGGATTAGAAGCTTATTTCTCTTAGGACTAGATTAAGTTGTTCTCTTTAATATTAATGTTATTAGGACGTTTTCAATCATCAAATTATCAATAAAATTCAGAACTCTGTTCATTTTCTTGTGTTAGAATTATTTTCGAGTTTCTGCCCATGGATTCAGCAGCAGTTCGAAAGGTTGCCCTATTCGGGAATCTCCGGATCTATGCTTATTTTCAACTCCCCGAGAAATTCGATTCATTCCAATTTTTTCTACAAATTTGTCTACCAGAAGTTTTTTTCGGATTTGTGGATTTTCTGAAAATCATTTTTTAGATCTAACCATTGAACCGTATGCATCAAAAGGTGCGTGTACGGTTCCTAAGGGATAGAAACCCCACTCCAACGGCAAGCAGAGGCGTCATCGAACGGAGGACGTCGGGGAGCCATCCATTGCACCAGATTCTGCTCCTGCGGAAGTATCTACTCGTTACAACTGCAAAACCTTTGTACCGAAAGGGGCGTTCCACCGCATAGTTCGACATAAGTCCGATTTCGACAAGGATATTTCATCTGAGCTGTCTCAAAATTGTGAGAAGATAAGGAGAAATCCAAGTCGTCCATAATCTATCACCGAGAAGGAAGCCATCCAAGCGACCTTCGACGCAAATCAAGTTACCGAGACATGCGATCTTCATCATACGATCTCGGCGCATGCACGCGGACGGGCTGCTGGATGCTGGACTGCCACAGGTAGCTGGTACGCCTAGTGCTGGCCACTGGTCTGCATCGAGTGATCTGGATGCTGCTGCAGGGCGTCTGCGCGAATTATCGCGGCACGCCTGCCCGCGAGCGCGCGCGCCAGAGCCTACTAGCGACCGCTGCTGTTGCGGCACATGCGACGTTTGTTTCCCGACAGAATTTTCAACTTGCACACGATAACTCATGACTAAACAAAATCATATTTTTGGGCTAAAAAAATAAATTTTTGGTTAAAAACTTTTAAGGCCCAACAAATAAATTTTTTCCAAAAATAAAGTAAAGAAATATTGAAATAATTTCAAACACTTTGCTAATATTTTCCAATGCAGTTTTAGGCCATCGAAATGATAAAATTCAGGGGCTAACATGCTAACATTTTCGAACAAAGACACATAATTGCACATAAAAATACTCTCACGACAACAAACTGCATATTGATAGACACATTGCACATTATTGTTCGATTGATTGCACTTTAGCGCAACAGTGCCTTCTATGCAATGACTAAAATACCTTTGCGTGAAAAATAAAAAATCCACTTATTTACAGAAATGTCACCGCATGTTTGACTAAAGCTGGATCATTTGATCGTGTATAGAGCATTGATATATCACATCCAAGGTCAAACGATTAATTCTTACTTCTTTCAGGATCCATACCTCAATATATTTATATACATGAAAGATTAACTAATAAATTAAAAAAAATTGAATTTCAATTTGAAAAAAAATGACAAGTTCTTTATATATTAGGGCACCCGCATCGGGGCCGTTCAGTTGTCCGTTTAAACAGTTTAAATGCCAACTTGGCATACTCCACCAATGTGGCCGTTCATTAAGAGGTGGGGCCCCCTCTATTCGTTCAATGGAATGAACGGCAGTTTGTACCTTTTTTTATTTTTTTTTGTTTTCCTTAAATTTTTGTTTTAAAATCTTTATTTTACTGAATTTCAATGGAATGAACAGTAACTTATTCCTTTTTTATTTTTTTATTTTTTTTAAATCTTTGTTTTACTGAATACACAACATGCTTTCTTTCCTTCCTTTTTTTTTTTTTTAAAATAATTAATTATTCATTATTTTTTCTTTTTTGTTTTTATATTTAATTTATTTTTTTATCTATATCACACTTCTTAATATAGATTAATAATTTATATTTTCTATCATCATGCTTTGCTTATAAATACATCTCAATTTGTCACTTCTCTTGCACCAAAAAATTCGTCTTCTCTTGCACAAAAAAAATTAGCAACTGCTTATTTTTCTAAAAAAAAATAGATCTAAATAATAGACAAAATTTTTAAAATTTCTCAAGTTCTAATCCTAGCATTTTGGTCTTGTAGTGTTCTTTTATTTTTATGCATTTAAAATTTATTATTATCATTTTAAAATATTAAATTTTATTTTTATTGAGAATAGAATATAAAAAATCTGTATATATATTAAAAGCCAACATATTTACCAAAAACAGTAGCAAGAAAAGTCAACACACATTTAATACATACTTTATTTGGAAAATTTTTTACTATATGCATTAAATGCTTGCATATTTACATTTACTATCCAAATATGATCTTCAAGATTTTTTCCTTAAATAATTTATACAATGATTTTACTGATATCCATTATAATTAATATTTGTCGAGTAATATTTTTTAACCTTTATTTAATTATATAACACTAATATTTTTAAAAAATTAATATTATTTATTATTTAAAAGATAATGATCACATCATTAAATGATTTTATTGATGGTTAGATAATAAAATTATAGTTATTTTTTAAAATTTCGACATGTTATTTATTTGTATATTATGGTCAACTATGATAGTGTTTTTATCACTTTTTTTTTGTTATGTTTCAAAAACGAACTTATTGTAAAATATTTTTCTATTGCATAGTATGTTAAATAAACTATAAAGCCTTAGGATGAAAATTAGAAAAAATCTCTTGATTATGTAAGAGATTTATTTTTTGGCAATTGCTAAATCATTTTTTTTTAAAAAGAATTATTATGAGAAAATTGAATTCTAAAAAACATGTGTGTGTATTCTGTAAACATTTATACTCAAAATTTTATTTTGAATTTCATTCCATAAAGAAGACTACTTCTATAACTTTTATAAATAATAATAATTACATTATATGACTGTAAATTTTATAATAAAATAATAATTAAGCATTATATGGTGAACAATAATTAATAAAATTTTTATTTTTTCCTATATCAATGTATAAATATATATTCTAAAATCAAATAAATATTAGTATGACGTGTTAGCGAAATTATATATTAATTAACATGTTAATTTTTTGGCTTAAATGAACGCCACTTATTAAAAGATGTGAAATATGGATGATCCAAGCCTATTGTTTTTTTGTCTGGACGTACAAGTCCTATAGAAATAATTGATTTATTATATGTGTCACGTGCATCGCACGAGGTATGCACTAATAAATGACCTTAAAATTGTGCACCCCGTGCATCACCCGTGTTCACATTTTGGCCTATTACAGGTCACGTACTATATATATCCCGTACATTTTTTTATTAATTTATATAATTATAAGAATGGATAAATGACCTTAAAATTGTGCACCCCGTGCATCGCACGGGCTCTGTACTAGTTATATTGAATGAGTGGATAATGAGTCTCACATATGTATTTAAATGAATCTGTATGAATGTGGATGTGTGTTTAAATGGAGAGAGATTTAATAAAAATATGACGTGGAGATGAGGTGGATGAGAGAGAGTGTTACTTTTTGATTGAATGAATGATTTTTGTGGTAATGGGTTGTGGATGCCATAGACGATGTGATATTTTTGTTTGGAAAAACGAAATCTAAGCCAAGCTGGCCAAACGACCACCACTTAGACCTTCTCCAACCGAACACCAAAACCCATTTTTTGCAGTCAAGATTGCTCCAACCGAACTTCAAACGCATCTGCAATTTGTGTTTTTCTCCTCTCTCTCATCTCCTTGGACGCATATTTGCGTCCGGACTCATAATTTGCGTCCCAACTTTTTTTTTTCATTTCAGTCCCTTCTTTTATTTGTCTTACTTTTCTTTTTTATCATTTTAGCCTATGTTTATTAAAATAATGTTTTTTTATATATTAATTTTATATGTTTTCATATAATATTTGAAATAGTGATTTTCATAATAATTACTAGACCATATATGGTCTAGAGTGTAAATTACTAAAAAAAAGTAGCAGTTTTTAAAATGTGAATATATGCACTAGACCATATATGGTCTAGAGTGTTAATTTGCACTATATCATATATTTTCAAAAGTAATAGTTTTGATTCAATCGGTACATAGATGTATATGTATCTTCTTTACTTTTAAAATGAAGATGTAGTTAAAATACAAATGTAGGATAAGAAAATTTTTTCATATGGTATCATTTTAATATTAAAAAATTACAAAATAAAATTATAAAGTCCAAATTGAATTTAAAATAATAGTGTGGTTTAATTTGTAAAGTTGTAAAATATTGGGTAGTATTGAAAAGTTATAAAAGTTGGTGTAAAAGAGAATATTATGGGAATATTCTTTTGGGTTTGAGAATGAGTTTTTCGGTTGGAGATGAATTACTGCAAAATGGGATAGTTACTGCAAAATAGGTTTGAGTTTGGGTTTTTGCGGTTGGAGATGCCTTACACCGCCCACTCTGCCCAAGCCACAACCACATTCCTCTCTTTCCAAGCTTTCATGTTTAGATAGATTGGCGCAATTACATAGCGACGCGACCCATAGGTTTTCACTCTCAAAACGTTTCTCTTCTTCGTCTCCAGTTTCTTGCAGTAGTATAATTTTATCCTTGAATTCTGAAAATTGTTGATTAGGTGCCGATTATCACAGATATGCAGAGCTCGTCCGTTGTGTTCAACACAAAACCGGTCTTTGCCGCGATTCATGCCAATTGTATCCATCAACATAGTAAAGACAGCTCTAATTCAACCTTGATTACTGCTAACTTTAATTTGGTACCGTCGAAGAATCCCATTACTCTGCGTCAAAAGAGGTGTCGGAGTAGTTGCACGCGTCCCGTTAGCAGCCAGGTAACGTTTCTCATGATGTATACATTGAATTTGTATTTAAATATGCACTCGTTTCAATCTTGTATCCTGCTGCTCTCTTTTTAGAGGTTTAAATATGTTGCTAGGGTGTTAATATGTGTTACCCTTGGAGTTTGAAGCGTAATTTTGCGTTGCTTATTCATATGAGTAATTGGTTAGTTAATCTCTGCATATGCGTATTAGTTTGCATTTTTCCATGGTTAATTGTTATCTTTGTTGGAAAGATGGTTGCTTTAGCGGGTTCCCAGTACTCTATAGCAATATCTATATCTGTGAGAATGATTGTGTATAGGGTTCTTATGTAGAGTTTGATTGCCTGGAAAATTGAATCAAAGTGTTGCCACGTGAAAATTTTTAGGAAGATCTTCCCCCCGAATTTGTGTGTTTGTGTGTCGGCTGTTTGGACCTCAATACCTTCATTTTTGGCACTGGTATTGAGAAATAAAACATTAAAACTTCTTGTTTCATACAGGTTCTTGCTGTTGAATTACGGAACTAATACTCTAAATCTATTTGTCAATGTCTTCATGTTGGTAGCAGTTACCTTTGCTTTTAGGATAAGGCCACATGAATTTGATACTTTCTCCCAGTAAAACCAGTGGAAGCCTTTTCATTAGCTAGGACAATTCTATTAGAGGCTATTACTTTCACATAGGTGAAAAAACATTGTCCACCCTTTGTACAATCACAAATCCTTAAAAGGTTGTTACGGAATTGGGTTGTTTAGAATTTGAAAAGGTCATTATATTCCTATCTGAACTTCGAAGATTGGGTCTTTCTACTCTTGTATCAACAAACTTTCTTGATTTGAATCTTGGGGAAATCTATTATGTTCTTTACTTGCATATTTTAATGTATTATGTGATCTAGTTAATTACTATAGTTCTTGTCCACTGATATCTTGTTTGCAGAATTCGTGGGGAAGATTCTCTTTGGAATATCATGGATTGAAACCTCAACTGCAGTTGCGTCATAAGTGTCAACAAGTGTCGTGTTTCCAATCTTTCAAGCGGAAGCATGTAGGCCTGAAGAGATTCACCTCTCAACTCTTTGTTGACAATTCCATCTTGTACCTGCCAAAGCACAAACTCAACAATGCTAAAGTAAGGAATTGGTGAAAATATTTTATCCTTTGTTTGGTCTATGTCTAGTGGTGCAGACATGTTTTAAGATTTTTACTTGACTACCGTTGAAGATTATGATGTTTTTATTTATTTGGTTTGTTTTAGTTAAATGAGCTGTGTCGATATTTGGTGAATGCCAATTTTTATATTGCCTAATGTAAGTTGTATATATGGTCCATTACAAGTCTGTGTTTGGAATATAATAATCTTTCACGCTGTTTTAAATTCTATAATACTACAAGTAATATTAATTGCATAATGCCATAGGATCATTTTTCTTCCTGTTTCAGGAAAGCAAATATTGCATTCTCCAATATTTGTTTATGAAAGCAGTCCTGTACTGGGTAAATAATTTCATGATTACTTGATTTACCAACATTGGAGATTGCTAGTCACACAGATTGCAATTGCTTCATGCTTGTAGTTCCATTCTATTTCTCGAAGCAGGAGGGCAATAATTTATTGACCTTTTGTTCATTGTTTCTGATTATTTTTTTGTTGACACATTTTTAATTATCTGTTGTGTATGTGTTCAATATGTGATTTTAATATGGTTTATACAAGTTCTATGAGTATTCATCAAAACCAACAGATATTCTCTTCGATTCATATATCAAAACCAACTTTCACGTCTATATTTTACCTAATTTGTTTGCTTGTCAGTTTGATTCTCCAGCTAGAGAAGTTCATATTCCTTTTGCTACTGTGGGACCTGAAGAGCCACATGCAGCAAGTACAGCCTGGCCGGATAGTGTTACGGATTAACAGAATTTAGATTCTTTAGGCTCAGAAACAGAGAGGTTAGAGTTGGAAAAATTTTTGAGCCTTGAGCTTCCTCCCCACCCGAAATTGCGCAGAGGACAGCTGAAAAATGGGCTCCGCTATCTCATCTTGCCAAACAAAGTCCCTCCTAATAGGTGCAGTTCTTTAGCATTTAACTCTGTCTGCTTGACATGATAAATGAATTTTAGCTTGTACAACAATACATATAAGTGTTTGACAATGTACAGTTCCTGTGGATATTTTAAAATCAAAGGGGATTCCTAGTAACTTAAATAAAAAAAATTTAGTGGAAATCCACAGTCCGGTTACAATTTTAGTACTTGTTGGAAGCAAGTGGCCTTACGTTTTGAGATACATTTATGATCCCCAATTGACCATCCAAGTGTTTCAATTTGAAGAAATTATGCATCTTCATTCTCGCCTGTTTTTCTACAAGGTTCTGTGTTTGAAGTATAGGTTTGAAGCTCATATGGAAATTCATGTGGGATCTATCGATGAGGAAGATGATGAGCAAGGAGTTGCTCATATGATTGAACATGTTGCCTTCCTTGGAAGTAAGAAGCGTGAGAAACTTCTGGGGACTGGGGCAAGATCTAATGCCTACACAGATTTTCATCATACTGTATTTCATATCCATTCACCCACAAGTACGCAGGTTTGTGCTGTTCTCATCTTTTGCCTTTATTCCATTCTTAAACTTGTTCCTGTAGGATTGCTTAACTTTGTCAAGTCATCTTTATAGTTTTGCGTTTCGTGCTATTTTTGCATGGAAAAGAAGGATCAACCTTTATTGAAATTGGGGGCCACTGTGGATGCTTTAGGAAACTTAGGAGTCAAGTGATTTTTTTGGTACCCTTCAAGATGCAAAAGCAAACTTGCTGTAAATGATAATGCTTGAATTGATCCCCACAAAGTATAAGTTAATCAATAATCAATCATAGTGGAACGTAAGAAGCTTTTGCACAAATGTGTTGTCATCAATTATGGCTTTGATTATCTGTTGCATCTCATATTTTCATTTCTTGTTTGTAGTTGTGTTTCAGATTGCAAATTTTATTTATTAATTCAACGTAACATTGATCTCTAGGACTCTGGAGGAGATTTGCTGCCAGTTGTTCTGGATGCTCTGAATGAGGTCAGCCTTTTCCTTTGTTTTTTTGTTTTTTGTTTTTTGTTTTTTGTTTTTTTTTAAATGATTAATACTTTGATATAATGAAAGTATTAATATCTATTTCTTTGACAACGGATCTTTAGTCACGATTTTCTTGTACTAGTTTGGAATCGTCCATATTATATTGTGTATAGAAGCGGTTGATTTATTAATCTAACTTTTGAATGACGTAGATTGCTTTTCACCCCAAATTTTTGGCTTCTCGGGTTGAGAAAGAGAGACGGGCAATTTTGTCAGAACTACAAATGATGAATACGATAGAGTACCGTGTTGATTGCCAGGTACTCTTTAATTGTTGCTAGATACATTACGTTAAGTTTGTCTTACTTTTCAAAATTTTTTGTTTATCTTCACCCAATTTTTCTTCTTCTTTGTTGGCATAGTTGTTGCAGCACTTGCACTCTGAGAACAAGTTGAGTAAAAGGTTTCCGATAGGATTAGAGGAGCAGATTAAGAAATGGGATGCTGATAAAATCAGGAAATTCCATGAGCGCTGGTACTTCCAGGAAATGCTACACTATACATTGTTGGGGATATTGATGACATTGCTGATACGGTTAACCACATCGAAGTACGTTGCTATCAATTTGTTAAGGGTGCAATTGCATAGTAAAGAGTGGGTGAAAGAGTAGAATTTTTTTTGGGTGGATAAATGGAATATCTTTTATATTGTAAATGGATATGAGATAAACGTAAAGATTAAAGTTGATTTGATATAAAAAAAAGTAAAACTAATGAAGGGAAATGATTGGTAGTTGAAAATGTGAGTTGATGAATTGTGATTTTTTTTGCATTGTGTGGTAATGTTTGTTTGTTTGATTTTTTTTTTTTTTTTTTTTTT